GGCTGGTGATACCCTCGGGGACTAACAGCAGAGGTATCGACCAAGTGGTAGTAATAATATAAACGATACCACTTTTACTGCATCAGATGCTCATTTAGACAATTAATGTCTCTTCACTGATGCTCGATACCAAAATATTTGAAAATCCAAAGCCTAATACAAACCTTGTAAATGTTCGACAATGGCATATCAATACACACAAACACATGTACAATTAAACAACAAATAACAATGGAGTGTATTTTCAGATGTGTTTAGAGACTGTGTAACAGTGACGGAAAATAATGTTTAGATATACTTACTAACTAAAACCAATAAAAAGAGAAGCGTTGTGACGCCAGCGCCAATATAAAACAAAGTATATAAACGGCTGCTGACCAGATCTATGTCGGGACTATATTTCACCAGTAGCGGAGGAAGTAAAAATCCTACAGCTGCACCAATCTACAAATATGGCAATGAAAAAAACAATAACCTGCTGTTTGACGTGTCATCGAATTTCAAATTTCCATGAGCAACACTACGGGTGCCTCAATTAGAGCAAGAATTGTTTACCATTTCAATATCAACTGAGATCATTCCCGCCTTTTTGTAGGGGTTCGCGGTGGTGATTAATCTTTAAATTAGTTTTCTATGTAGCATTTTATTCATTTTATTGTCGTCGTTTTTCTTTTTTTTTTTTGTCATTTGAAAGTCGGTCTCGTGAGATTTATTGTCTCTTCGGTATCTTTGGCCACTTTTGTTATTATTCTTTTAACATCCATCCATACTTATCATAATGTATATTGAAGCAATATACACTTTTTCATGCCAGGGCCTGTTATAGTTTACTTTATGGTATTGGTTTTACTCAATGCCGTAGGTATTTTCATCATGTTCATCCTTGTCACGTGGTCTTTTGCAGAGTTTTTTCATTGACAATCATAACACATCTCCTTGCTTTATATTTCTTGAATTCATTTTCTTTAGAATACGCTTTTTCATGAATTTCCATTCTTTGTGAGATAATACAGGTACAAATGTAATACCAACTCCAATATCCAATGGTAAAATTGTTAAATCAGTATTTTAAATACAAAATTGTAAATAGCATTACTGGCAAATCAAACAGTGCAGTGTTATACACGTATAATGGCAAGCCTTCACAGTCAAACATGAGAAATTTGCATATTAAAAAGTTCATGTACTTATACTCTTTAAGGAATGACTGTAGTAATATTTTTTCTGTCTTTGGAGAAGTAGCATAAAAAATGTTGTGCACACTGAATAACCCGCGTAGCGCCTTATTTAAAAATGTGCACCACATTTTTTAGATTATTTCGAATAGACAGAAAAAATATTACAGTCATTCCTTATAAATTAATTGATTCTAAATTCCATTTTTAAGGAGTAAATCATGAAAAAAACGTTGATGACTTCACGGTCACAATACAAAATTATGTCTCTGAGCTGATAGACAAAAAAACTTTCCGCCAATCAGAAGACGTGTTACATCAAAAATTAAATTATTCAAAAATAGTTTGAATCACTGTCGATTGCTATACATACAATGCCAAATATTCCAATTTATGTACATTCAAGATCATAAGTAGGTTTTGAAAATGTGCATAAAGGGAGTGAAATAGACTGGCAACTAGTGAAAAAAAACTTACTATGCATGAGGGCAGAGATTTTGCCTTGCAACATGCCACCAACGTAATCACATCAGAGAGCTATTGCAAATATTCTTGAACATGCAGAAAGTATGGTAATATTCCTACACGAGATATTATAGATTTAACGTCCCAATTCCAATCGGACGTCACTGCGTAATTGAAAATCCTTCACAACAACTCTTTAAAATTGTGTTTACTGCCAGATGAAGCCAGGGCAATTTAAAAAAAAAATAGTAAGATTTGATGAGCAAGAAAAAGCGATAATGCGTGATGAATACATAGTATTACAAAATGACGACACTGCCTTTTAAGAAAAACATATACATACTCTAAAGATATACCCTACAAAGAACTCGATTCGGATTTAGATGATAGAGAAGGCAGCGGTTTATTCTTCATCATTAGCACTTGCAGAATAAGTCGTTTTTTAATGATAACACCATTAACCGATTTTTATACTAACCATGAGCATCACGACAGGTACCACAAGAGGAGATGATCAGTTTACCATTCCCGAACATTTTATATCATTAAGGATACACAAAACTTTAAAAGAGGTGACATAATAAACTTTAGTTTAGTTCTGTTCTTGCAAGCAGATACTCTCTACCAAAGATTTTCTGTAAAGATACACAAGCACCTGCAAATTGTATACTCTTATAGATATATTATCCCTTGTCTGTTGGCTTGGTGATGTTACGTGAATATTGAAAGTTCACGATAGGAAAAGTGAGGAAATGGTCTTTGTTGATTTGTTTCTCACGTAGGCCACTTGAACCCAGTACTTAATTCAAAACAATGTTAAATAATATACCTGGTTGCCAAATACACCTAAAGATGTTGCTGTTGATACTTGGTTTGGACCAAACCATATTGCTGCAAGTCTCGCAGGGATACCAAGTATAAAAACCTGAGCTACCGAACAAACAGACTGGCCGAACATCAATAACGCAAAACGATCGGGGCTAACACATGCTACTTTAATCCAAGCGCCAACTGCATTCAGGAAACTTCCGCAAATAATCACAACCCTAAGTCCTTTTTTGTCTAGAAGCCATGTTAATGGAAAGATTAGCGGTATATACGCTAGCATGTAGACCATAGATAGCCAATCTAGAGCAGTCTCCTGTTGAAATTTGTCCTCTGGCAAACTGGCATTGTAATAGTTGAGTAACACATCTCCTATTATGTTCAGATGTAACCATTGGAAGCTGTTGGTCAACGAAACAAATGAAAACAAAAAAAGTATAATCCAACGCCTTTTGTAGACTTGTGGTAGAATATTATCTTCGGTAACTTTCGATGTATCATCTTCGGTTACTTGCGTTGTCGGTTCCTCTTGGCCATCCATTGTACTGTAATTCAATTAGTCAGTAATTTATCATATGATAATAAGCGATTTCCTTTTTTTTTCATTTGCAGGGTGAAAAATAAATAAAATTGAGAATGGAAATGGGGAATGTGTCAAAGAGACAACAACCCGACCATAGAACAGACAACAGCAGAAGGTCACCAACAGGTCTTCAATGAACATACTAGTAATAAACTTTTACAACATACAGTCTAGATAGGCAAAAAAGGGATGTGTGAATGAAAACTGGTGTAACCCACCATAGTGTGTGTCTGTACTAAGTAAGGCTATCTGTACCATCATTATCATGATGGTGAGTTGTTTGTTCTCGATTGTCTATACGTACTTATGAGGAGTTGGGTGTTGTTGGTTTGTATGGATTGTTGTACTGTCCGATATTTTGTGGTGATTCCTTTTTTTTTCTTTTCATGTAGTGTTTATATAGTATATAGCGTCTGGTACCATTTCAGCACGTAATATACATGTTTTTTAATAACTGTACGCTCGAGACAAAGAGTTTAAGAAACCAAATGTATCAAATAGTCTGTTTGCCAATTCCGTTATCAATCCTGTAGCTTCGAATTCATTCGTACGAGCTGTTTGCCTTATGAGAGATATTCATGAGGGTCTGGATTTTTTTTTGGGGGGGGGGGTTCGGTATTTCATTTTTGTATTCTTTTAATTTTTTGAGGCCATTTTTTCTCTACTCTATTCTTTATAATTTTACCCTGTTATTCAATATTCTTTATATTTCAACATCCTATTATTCTCTCTTTCTCTTCTGTATTTTTTTATAACCTTTTTTCTATTCTCTATACTTGTTGCCTTTTATTCTACACTTATTACCGATTATTTGCAATTCTGGTGACCCCATCCAGATCCTCATACATTTTCATTGACAATTAGGAGCTAGCAGAAAAGCAATAATGTGCTTAACGTGTGCAATCTTTACGTTTTTCAAATTCTTTTGTTAAGCTACCAATCGTGTTCTCATCAAAATGTTTAAACGCCTATACATCACGTTCAACTTATTACGCTTTGCGTCGGCAAGCAGGCCATTTTATGTTAAGTTATATCATTGCATAATCTAGCATCTGAAAATTTAGTCAGAATGTATTATTTAAATCATGATCAATATTGAAAAGTTTGAGATAACATGTATACACTTCGACGGTAAAATCCTTGTAAAATTAAATCATCAAAAGCAGCTATCAGTAAATTATGATTGACAAGAAATTGAACTATAACTTTCAAATGCTCTTTTAAGTATTCTTTTTTAGCCAATAATAATTTTAGTAAGCACTTGATTCTGAAAACTAAGCATTATTTAGGTCAATTTCAAACCCGGACTCGGATATTCTGAAGTAAATATATTGTCCTTTAACCAAATTGTTCTTTTTCATGAAATATTTGTTTAATAGTTTCTCCTCTAAGATTGACGTTTGCCAATTTCATCTTTTTATACTTTGCTACTTGTATTTGTTGTAAACATACGACCTCAAGATGTCCTTCGTTTGTTTAATTTCAAGTACTGAAGATTGGATAAACGACATCGGCGGTCTCGTGGTAGAGTACTCGCATCGACTTCCGGTGGTCGATCTGAGCACACGACTTTTAAGAGTAAGACATGTCAGCTAGTAAAATTAGAAGAAAAACTGTGTGTGAGAAGGTATGCCTCCCTGAGGACTATTACTTTTATATTTTCAAATCTTATTGAAATATCATTTGCATGCAATATTTCCCACTGGACTGTTATTCGGTTGCATCATTACACAATTGGAAAGTTAGGAATTCTGCATTAATTACTAAAATATTTGTCTACTGACTAGCGTCCGGGTTTGTAATCAGCTGACGGTGTACTTGCCGTGAGCTTGCGGCCTGTTAATAAACAACACTTTTAGATAATAACGGTCTCGATTCATGACATCACATTTATTAGCGCTTTTACTACTTTGTGTACGTTGGCGCTTTTTTACTTATATTATATGCCTTACCTTTTCATTTTTATTTAACCGTCCTTATCATTTTCAAAATACACAAATACAAATGTCAGTTACATCTATTAGAATTATTCACCTACTTTTTAGTATGAAATGTCAAGCGTATAATTTGGTTGTATATTTGATGAATATTTACTTTAACAACCTTGAATGTTATGTTATTTGTGTCATTTGACGACGTATCAATTCCTGTACAAACAAACGTTTATATAAAAGGCCACAATTTAAAAGAAAACAACTTGATACAGTACATGTATATGTTAAAATTTCTAATTATCTGAATTTACCATTGAAGTCAGAATTAATTTTCCGAAAATAATTAGAGTTCATCACATATGCAAGCTTATATAAGCATGTCATTACTGTACTAAACATTGTGTTGTTTGATCATAACATATCTGTGTTGGTAAATGTTTTATCTACTTAGACATTTTTCTTTGATAAGATTTAGATAAATTCAATTATTGTATATAAATTTGACAGTCACATATTTAAATGACAGTTTACATTCAAGAAGGTGAAGAGAATTGAACATATATTGGTATGTCTGTTCATCGTTGGGTAAATTGACATTTTAAAAAATGTTCTTATGTAGTATTGCATAAAAATGATATTTTCTCTTTTCTAAAACGATTACAAATTGCGCCATGTTTTATTTCGTTAGTGAAAACATGGTTATAAACCTAAGGACAATGAGTAAGTAGTCCCTATTAAAACTTTTAAAAAGAGTCGGTTCTGCTATCATCCAAGAGACAGCCCTGATATTATCTATCAATCAGCATTTCCCTAACTGATGGCTTTTATATTAGTAGTGCATAATCAATTAAAATAATGGTCAAATAAATGTATGTCGGTGTGCTCAATTTTGTGATAAAACATTGGTCAAATGAAAATCGATGAAGGAACAAAGGAAAAGATCATCGATTTATAATATATAGCTTCAGGGAAAAGCCAGAGGAGTTAAATATTATTATGGTAAAGTTGTAAGCTGGTTCTCTCCCTTGTAATTTACGGGTATCTTAGTCACCCTTGTTAAACAGATGAAGAACAGGAACCAGTCTAGGTAAATTTGTAAACTCACGAAGCAAAACAAGAAATGATTGCAACAGGGTGCTCACGGTGCTGTTACGAAGTTCCCTGAACAAAGTCCCAATAAGTATAAGCCCCTAGGGACTCCTCTATTATTCATTCAATTCATCTTGCAGAAAATATGATGGTTAAGGGGTGGAGATATAAAAAAATTACAAGATATAAGAACATTCTCATATGACAGGGGTGGGGATGACCCCTTGGCTTTAATGTATTATTCGAATCATTTTGACATAAAAATAAAAACAACAAAAACAGGAATATGTGTGGTCCAGGGTTGGGGATCTCGACAATTCACAAGATAATACAACATTATCAAATGGCAGGGGTGACCCCTGGGAACTAATCCCACAAATCATTCAAATCATTTTGACATGACAAACAAGAATTGGTTTAAGGATGGGGCTCTCGCCGGACCATTTACTAAATACTAGAACATTTTCAAATGACAGGTGCTGGTGGTGACCCTAAGGAACTAGCCATGTATTTCATTTAATTTATTTAATCATGTTGAACATTTTCTATTCTTTAGACTGTCCATTTTGTTTTTATTTTTGTGTGTAAATTGAAATTCAATTTAAATTTTTGTGTGAATTGAAAAATAATGTTCAAGGTCAAAGGTCAAGGTAATAAGTGATTATTGACCTTTTAACCTTGAAGTAGTCCATATGGTCCCATGATCATTACTGAAGACCCCATGTGTCTACTATCACTAACTTTTTTCACATTTGAAAATAAGATTCTAAAAAATCTCGCAGGGTTCTAAATTAAAGCCCCTCCCTTATTTCGCCACCTAAAAGTACCCCCTAAATATACCCCAATGCACAAACAAAACCTGATCGCACCATTAGACATGTTTTCAGTTATAGGAACACAAGAAAAGTGTAGTTGTCTTACGGTCACCTAAATGCTGACCTTTAAGTGCGTATTAGATACGTATTGCAAAAAGAGGGGGAGTATACAAAGGGGCAACCAAAAGTCACAAGTCAATGTTTATTGTTTGTTCTTATGCTGTGCTGTTACATATACAATATTCGCACAGTGTATGAAATTTAAAATTTATTTTACGAGCTTTAGAAACAGAGAGAAAAGCGAGGCTTGCCGAGTTTTTTTCTGTTTCGTAGCAACTACAAATACATTTTATATTTTCCTACACTGTACGAATATTGTTTTTATTCAATTTATATTGAACTTAAGGTTGATGACCCCTTCTGTAGGCCTGTGTATTATGGAATTTTCAAAGTGCAACAATATCAAAACAGTGAAAATACAGAATAAAAGTGACTTGCCATTTTGTACATATATCAAAAGGAAACCTAAATATTGAGTCACTAAAGTCGAGAGCACCCTCTATCTTATAAGCACCGAATTGTCAAATATAGAAGTGCAAGGGGAAAGGCTGCGGATTTTTTATATAAGATTTCCTTCCATATGTTTAGCATTGAAACAACAAAAGGGTACATTAACCTTAAACGTAGAGTTTTTTCTATTCAAATCGATGAATTTGTTTTTGTATGAAATCGACATGATTAAAACCATAAAAACGCGGACCGCGATGAGGACCCTTAATTAAACTATTATGTAAACCGAAATTTGAACAAAACCATTCGCTCGCAACAGAAGAAAGATACCAGAAGACTATACACGTACACATTACGTTTATCACTTCATGTTATCTGTCGAATGTATGTGTGTATAGTAGAATTGCGGGATAAATCATTATCAAGGTTAGGATAGGGTTCAGCCTTTGCAAACATATTTAACGTTGCCACATTTGTATATGTGGCTGTCCCAAGTGTGGAGCCAGTAATTCAGTAGTTGTCGTGGTTCGACAATTCTTATGATGAAATGTTTTAAAAAGAAGTTATTAATGGAGAAGGTCAAGTACTTTTGCTGAATATATATATTGTCGTTTTCGTTGAATTATAATAATCCTTATTATACCTCACACACATATATATAGATACATCTATAATAAGACAATTTAGTTCGTAATTTATATGATTAAAATGTAAATGTTGAGGTCATAATTGTGATCCACCATGCCATTTCCAGGCTTCTCTAGGTATATAACGTCATTGTATTGAAAAACTCCATTAACCAGGAACGTATAGTAACATCAACATGTGTTTGCATATAAGTTTATTTATATACTGAATTTTATGTCTGGGCGCATTTAAGCATCAATATGAAATATAATCTAAAGCGTTTAGTTAATACTAATTAAGGAACCAATCCCAAATAGCAACATGAACAGTTGATGAAGTTAAGACATTTTGTATGATGAAAATACTTAAAATCTCAAAAACTGGAAAATTTTAATAATAGGCACCTTTTTCTCTAGTATTCTCTTCATTGGTGCATTGTACACATTTCTAAATGAATTTTTTTTTAAATATCAAATCATAATCCTATGCTACTAAATTATTCCCAATTTGTTTTCTCATGTTCATATCTGCCCTGATTATGTATACAACAAGTTTAGACTTTTTGTCAGATATTTGGAATCCTCTAGTTTTATCCATGTAATGCCGATAAAAAAAATTGTCTGCTAACTCATAATTTTCTTTTCATAAGTTTATTATATACTGTTTAAAAAGCCATGTTTGAAAATCTTATAAAATCCTTGTTATTCTTTCATAGTTCTTGAAAAGAAAAAGTTGTCAATGTTAAATGTATGAAAAATCTAGAGAGAATTATTTCCCGCCAAATTTTCAATTGCTTATATTACAAAAACAAGGACACTGACCCCTCATTTTGTTCTGCTTTTAAGTTCCGTTATTTATATACTATCAATTTATAACAGTTTTTTAAAAAGCTTGTTATTTTGAAACAGAGGAGCAAACGTCCTTAATATCTGCCCAGATTATGTATATAACATGCATGTGATATTTTGTCGCTAGTTCTTATACTACGCAGACACTAATAAATCATTATGTGAATCCTATAATTTTACAAACAATTATTTTGGTATCCGTTATCTATAAAAGTATATTTAGCCTAGATTCTTTGATGAGTTTTTTTTGCATGACAGATAGATTTAAGATATATTTTACTTCATAGTTGAAGCCTGGTAAAAATAATATACAAATTGAAAGTAAATCAACATTTGTAAATTTAAAACTGTTTTCAGATAGTTCCTTCAGTTCCCTCACTCTAAATTTAATTGAATGATGTTGAATTGTCGTTTCGAAGTATGTATGAAGAAGGTATACCAGTCAAATTTGGTTTTATTTTTTGGCTGACAAGTACATTAATCGTGAAGAAGTTTCATAAATTGATAAACAAGTTTTTAATGGTTTAAAATTCAAAATCTATAGAGTTTTCATATTAAAAACCATTAAAATTGGATCATTGTAATAAATGCACCGTATCAAATGCATATATGAAATGTAATTTTAAATTACATCGAAAAATGTGACGCAAACACATGCCACAATATTACATAACTCATCTAACTAAAATAAGATGAAAGGAATGCTTTCTATTATGGAAAGCCAACGGGGTCAAAATTCTTGTTTCGTAACTTGTCAATTTGTAACTTGTCTCTTTGTAATTTCAAAATTCTTACTTCGTAAATTGTCAATTTGTAACTTGTATCTTTGTAATTTGAAAATTCGTAATTCATAAATTGTTAATTTGTAAGTTGTAACTGTGTGATTTCAAAATTCTTTATTGGTAAATTGTCAACTTGTATATTGATGTTTTGTAACTTGTCGATTCGTAAATTGTCAATTTGTATATTTTTGTTTTGTAACTTGTCGATTTTTATATATTGATGTTTTGTAACTTGTCGATTCGTTAAATGTTGATTTGTAAATTGTCAATTTGTATGTTGATGTTTTGTACATTTGTAACTTGTCGATTCGTTAAATGTCGATTTGTTAATTGTCTTTCTGATAGTTGTATTATGCTAACGATCATTATGACGACAGATGGCGCTCGGTTTCCTCTTCGGTGTATAAGCCTCCTATAAGTAGGAGCACTTCCATGTGGAGTATATACCTAAGTAATTTTATAAATCAATTATG